GTCAGGTCTGAAGCCTATCTGTGAGGGATTAAATATTTAATCACATTTAATACCCCTTCTCCAACTTATTTTTAGCAGCAGCTATTACAGTTTACTCTTTGAACATGAGAAATCCTTCCTTCTGTCCCAACTTACCTTACATCTGTTGTTTCCTAGAGGTGTTATTGACTTCTAAGAAAGGCAGTGTGTGAGGCAGGCTGCAGTAAAAGGATTCTATTAAATGTAGATGTTTGCTCTGGTTTAAAAATTAATTTTCTTGTCATCCTTGCAATTGAATGGGGGCCACAATTATCTCTTAGAATTACAAGTGTGTGTTTCTGGGGTGCATTAATGTGCCAAATTCTCCAGCATTTCCCATTTTTCAGAACTGCAGTGAAGGCAAAACTAGAATTGCTTACTGGAACTTTTTAGTTGGAACTTCTTCCTGGAATACTGAGTAAGTCAGAGGAACAGGATTATTTTAACTGATAGCTCATTTTTGGTGCAGGATCTCTGAAAGCACATGTTATGCATTCTCTTAAAAATCCCCTGAATGTAAAGATCCAGATATTAAATACAAACTTCTCAAATTATTACTACTGTGAGCAAAAAAATGATTAGGGAATTCAGTCAAAGCAGGGGTCATTTTTAAAAGCACAACTGTCAGTGCTTGGTGTGGTTTTCCAGGAGGAATTTGACATGACCAGATGTAATTAGACAAAACCATTACTTGATCATGTGAGTAAATTGCAAAGTGTGGGAGTTTGTTTGGAATTCAAGGTAATTCTCATAGTCCACACAGTGCCAGCTGTGGTTTGCAGAGAGCAAAATGAGAGCAGTCCATCCCTGCCTGGATGTTCCACAGTGAAGCCTCACACACAATCAGTTTCACCTTACCTTGGTCTCTATTTCTGTCCTTTTTTGCAGCAATTCAAACCAGAAAACTTCAAGGACATAAATTATTAGATTTATATATTATGTTGTTTATATATTATATATTATGTTTATATAATATGTTGTTCAATATGTTGTAAATATTGCGGCTTGGAGCAGCCTGGTCTAGTGGAAGTGAAGGCCTTCCATGGCAGGGGGGTGGAACAAGCTGAGCTTTAAGATCCCTTCCAAGCCAATCCATTCTATGATAAATAAATGGGTTTTTGTAATGTTGTTTTCTTGCTCTGTAGTTAAAACAGAGATTTCCTTGTCTTTATTGTGGGAATACTTCCATTTTTCCCAAGATATTTGCAGTGTCACTGGAACATCCAATTATTGCTAAACCCCCAGCTGAGTCTGTGACATAGATGGAGCTCAGACTGTGATACTGAGACCAGCATGGCTTGTACTGTGGTGGGGAATCCTGCTCCTGCAGTTTGATAAGCTGTTCCTGATAAGATTATCAGTAGTGAAATCAGTGGATCTTGTTTGAAAGCGGATTCACTGATTGAAATACAGGGCTGGAAGCTTGGGGAGCAGGTCTTGTTATATTAGTAGTATCTCCTCCCAGCATGAAATGTGTCAGAGTTGTCATGAAATGTCATCTGAGGTCAAAACTTTAATTATTATCATTGGATTAGCGTATGTATCCTGCACCCCATATTGAGGGTATTCCTCTTTGACTTGTGGAAATACTTTACTCTCAGCAGAAAAGCTTTTTCCATGGTTTACATTTTAAATGGTTCTATTTGCAGGGACTAGAATGGGGAATTAACTATTTTTATAGCAAGTTTGTGTTCTGCAGACCTTCACGGTGTCACCAGAGCGGTGCCAGGGTGGTTCACCCTGTGCTGCTGGTTCTGTTCAACTCTGCCACAGTGTGAGGGAAAACAACACTCAGTGTTGCCAAGACTACTGAAATCTGCTGGTTTTAAGTAAAAGATACTACTGTAAGCTCAGAGAAAGATTTCAGAATTGTGTAACAAGCAGTCATGTTGAAAATAGTAACATTTCTTATATCGTCTCTATTTAAATCCCAATGTAATTTTAATTTTCCAGGGAGCTGTGGTATTTTAGACTCTGGATCATCCTTCTGACAGACCAAATGATTAAAGTAATAACACAGTCACAAAATTGCTGATCATGTAAACAAGGAAATTCTTTCTTTTAAATGTACAATAATGACTTATTTTGCTTAATAACAGCTTTATTGCTTAGAGGGGCAGAGCAAAGATAAGAGAAGGAACCTTGACTGTTAAATAATCTCAATTTCGTCACCTCCCTGACTCCTGTGTTGTAATTAACGCTCAGCACTGGTGGAGGTGGTGCAATCTGGGAATGTGCAGGGCATTCCACACCTCCCTTCTCCCTCACTTCCTTTTCTTTATGGGGAAAACCTTGAGGACTTGATTTTATTGGGGTGAGTTCCAGGAGTTTCAGTGTTTCCTTGTTGAAGGTGAAAGGTCTTTTATTGATCTGTGAGGTTAACAGTTGAGTTTCTGGGCTCTGTGAGTTTGTGGGTCTTTGTTCATTTGTGTAGGTTACATTCTATAGGTAATTTCAAGAATTAAGCTGACACCTGCAGTAATTCCAGCTTTGGAATAGTGCCTATTAGCCATTAAATGACAACATTTCCCCCCTCTTTTTTACCATTCTATTAAATGCAATGTAGAAATAAAGTTCAATTATTTGTGCAAAGTCAGAAATAATTGCAAAGATCAGTGCAAAATTAAAATTACCCTAGGAAAAATCATTTGTGCATCCCAGCAGTGGGATTTTGTCAGATTCCTTATATAGATTCCACCCCCTTCTGGGGTGGACTTTTCTATAAAACCTGGTTTTCAGTGTATTTATTTCTTTCAGATTCTTGCTCAGACATCTTCTATCCAGGCTGGCAGTGAAGAAGGAGAAATTCCTGCTGTAGTAACAAGCCCTTTGTTTGGGCTCTTCCTAAAGTTCCTCACTGGTAGAGATAATTCAAATTTATGGGAAATTAACTCCAATATGTGCTTATAAAATCTGACCTGCAACCTACTCCCCAAAGGAGCAAGTGGGAAAACTTGGGAGCTGTGCTTTGTTAATAATAATTTTTAATCTACACTTTCAGTGCATTGCACTTTATGGGCTTATATCAGAGGGGAACGTGCTAGGCCAGTCAGTAACTGAACTCAGAGGCCAGAGGTGAGGAAGGAGGTTTCTCTTTGCCCTTTTTAGTCACCTGAGGGGCTGGTTTAGGACTTCTCCCGCTTTCACCCAGTATTTCAAGGATTGCTGCTCAGCAGGTAGAGGAGAATCTGCACTGCCTGTGTTCAGACCCTGCAGGATGGAGCCCCGAGCTGGGCAGGGATTCTCTGAGCTCTGAGAGGTCCCTAAACCCCAAACCTGCCTTCTCTGCCCCTGTGATGGGTTTGCTGGGCAGGGTTCCCCCCCACAGACACACTCGTTAAAGCAGCAGCAGGAGCTGTGGAAGGTGTGCTTGCAGATGGAGAAGTGGAGTGGAAAATGTTCCCTCCAAATCTCTTTGTGGTTTCACGTGTCTGCCAAAAACCCTGTTCCACCCTGATTGCATGGGAGGGGAAGCCCATTATGGATTTTCATTGCTCTCCTGAGCTGTTCTGCTGCCACTGTTCCTTTTGCACAATAATTCAGCATTCACCACCTTGAGGGCTGAAATAAAACCATCACTGTGGTGCTGTGTAGTGCTGCCTTTTTTTATTTTTTTTTTTATTTTTTCCTTCTCCAAGCCTGCTGGTGACTTTTTGAATATTCATTCCTGCTGGTTCCCTTCCAGAGGGTGTTGATATCTTGGCTCATCTTGACTGATGCCCTTGACTTTAGAAGATAAATAGCAAAGTGGAGATAGGTGCTAGGGATTGATTAGCAATCCAGCTTCAGAGCTAAAACATAAACACTTATAGATAAGGTTGCAGAATGCACCTTGGTGGAATTAAGAACATGTTTTAAGGTGTAAGAGGAGTTTTCTGTAGCTGCCAAGATACAAATGTTTATTTGATGCTTCTTGTTGAAGGCTTGCATTCATCAATGGTTTATTCTCAGAAAATGAGTTTCCTGGTTTTGATGGAAAAATCACTCATTGTTTTATTACAAATTAATAATTCATTAAAATAATGAAAACTGTAATTTGGGCAGTGAAAGATACTTGTGTTAAACTGCACTTAAACACATATAATTGTACATTTCTGTGAGTTTTAATTGATACCTTTGCTGCAATCTTGGCTTTTTCAAGATAATGAGAGGTGAGGAAAGGGTAGATAGGGACTGATGTGCCACATCCCAAACTCCAAAGCACAAGCACCGGCTGAATGAAATCCTGCTTTACTGGCAGCCAGATGGGGAACTTTGTGCCAGAGCACATTGGATGTCCTAAACACACCTGGATACAACAAACAAAGTCATGAGTGTAAACCCCATTTTGGGATGGTGTCTGCAAAGGAAGCACAGGCAGCTTGGACAGTCCTTGGGAGTCAATTTTGCTGGGAGGCAGTGCATTCTGTATTCCCAGTTTTTGGAAGGAATACTGTATTCCCAGTTTTTGAAAGAATTTAGGGTGGTTCCCATGTTTCCCCATGCCTCAGCTTAGGCAGCAGTGCCCTGCTGCACCTCCTGGAGCTGTCCTGCCCCTGGGCATCTCCGTTCCCTCCTTGTGACACTTTGTGTGCTGCCAGGAATTCCTCTGGCAGCAGGGCTGCCCTGTCTTATTTCCTTGTCTCTGTGCAAACAAGGCAGGGGAGGATGGAAACGTGGAAAATGTCCCTGCATTGCTGAGAAGCAAAGAGGCTTTGGTAGCTCCACCAGAACTGGCTGCCTCCACAAACAAATCCCTCACCCGGTTATCACATTCTGTGTTAGTAATGCAAATAACCCAGGATTTGGGATCGATAAAGGGTGCAAAAAGGGAAAAAGTTACTGTCACAAGGGTTACAAAGAGTCCTTTATCCCATGACCTCATTCCACTTGTATTTTCCTGGTGCATTCTGTGCCAACTCTCCCTGGGTGTGTTGGGGTGGATGGTGAGGTTTGTGTATGTTACTTTTGAAATGAATTGTGAACAAAATTTCTCTTTTCAGTTGTGTATGAGCACCGGTCAAGATTAGAAAAGTCACTGCAAAAGGAAAGGCTGGAACATAAGAAAGCAAAGGAAGGTAAAAATGTACTTTTCACTTTGACGTTTACCTTGATTATAATAGAAAGTAATTTCAAATGTTTTTTCTTCAATTTTAAATCAGTTGGGTAATATATAAGCAATGTATTAGGATCCACTTGGCAGAGCTTTGCTGCTCTTTCTAGTAGTTCTTTTTTAATTAATCTTTTTAATCAGATCTTTATAAAAGCAATATGATTTACAGCTGACTACAACATGAAGTAATAAACACAGTGAATATGTTTGTATCCATGTACTTAAAAAACCCATCATGTATGTGGGGTATGAGCACATGTAAATCCTGGCCTGGCATGCCAAAAATTCAAAGCTTGTACCAAAACCATGGGATCTTTTCTGGCATTCTCAACTGGGAATTAAACTTGGAATCAGTACTTTTACGTATGCTTCAGGGTGAGCACATGCTTACACACCTTTTCCTGATTAAGATTGAATTCTAGGTGTGGGTGAGGCTAACACAAATTGTATTTCTTATGTCTCTGTGCCCTCTGTGGAAGGTCAGCAGGATTCAATCCTCTGAGTTTCCTCAGCCTCTAAATTCACTTCTATTTTCAGGGTAGAGCCTCTGTTCTTCCTAAAACTGAGGTTTCAGCTGCTGAATTAAAAATGTGGCTTTAGCAAAGCTGACAAGGAGTGAGGAATGATTCTCACCGTGCAGGTCTCGGTGGGTTTCTGGTGCCATCTAGTGTAGAATGGTCCTGCTGCTGCTCCAGGGGGAGGCACCTTTTCAGACCCTGGAAACAGAGAGAGGTCAAGAAAGAAATGAGGAAATGTTTTATTATTTCCAAGAATACACAGTCTATAAATGCCCTTTTCCTTTTGGATGATGCTCTTGGGCCTCTGCTGGAAGAGTTCACGTGTCAGATTTAATTACCCGTCTGTAGATTTGAGCCTGAGCTCTGTCTCTCTCACTATGGTATGAAACCTTGAAGTGAAAATATTTTATGAAACTTTTTAAAGTTTGTGCATTTTAAGAATTTGCTCATTTTGTCAAATTCTCCATAGGTTGTTTTTCTTTTCTCGTTTTTTAAAGATCCTTTGAAAATTGTTTCTGCATGAATATTCAGCTCTTGAAGAGAATTTATGTACTCAACAGTCGAGTTATTCAAGCACAGATTCTCATCTTCCTGGTGCTTTTTTTCATCATTACTTTCCCTTTTATGTTGCAGATTTTCTTGTTTATAAACTAGAAGCACAGGAAACACTAAATAAAGGAAGGGTAAGTCATCATGCCTAGTACAAGTTTTTAATAGCTGATGCTATTTGAGTTGCAAGGAAAAGGAAATACTTTGCAATTATGACTGTTCAAAGGAAGAGATCTTGCAAAATACTAATTGAAGGAGCTCTCACTTATCCCAGTTCTACTCTGCATTCATAAGTGCTCTCCAATTCCTAATTATTTGAGCTATAGTGGGAGATACTAATACCTCTCCAGAAAATTAATTTAGAAAATAATCCCCTGTTTATATTATGGTAGTTCAAACGTAATGTTGTTTTATTTAAGGGGAAAGGGGAATAGGAAGGTGTTAGAAATCTTTTTGTAGCTTAGCCCCCTGGGAAAATAACAGTGACAGCTTTCTAACACATGGGCTTTGAACTGGAAAGCATAAAGACATCAAGAAATTTTGTTTTATATACCAAGTGCCAGAAGGAAAGCTCTATCTGGCAGAGGACCCAGGAACCTGTAGAGAACTCTTTATAAAGCAAGTAAATTAGGATTTTATGGCTATTTCATGTTGAAACTGGGGAGCAGTTTGGGAGCTGAGGAGCAGGAGTTTAAATAAGTTGTTGCTGCAGGAGGTGCAGAGTGTGGGAGCTTGCTCTGCTCCAAAGCCAGGGGAGAGATGGATTTGTGTCCTGGGGAACTCCAAAGCCAGGGGAGAGATGGATTTGTATCCTGGAGAGCTCCAAAGCCAGGCTAAAGATGGATTTGTGTCCCAGGGAGCTGGATCCCTTGGCTGGTGACTCCCAAAAGCTGCGTGTGCAGAGCTCAGGGGGTGTCAGGGGGTTTCACACGAGTGCTTTTGTTTTCCAGCAAGACTCCAACAGCAGATACAGCGCCCTGAGCATGCAGCACCAGATGCTGAAGGTGGGTGACTGGGACAGCAGAGCACCTGTGCAGCTGGTTATGCTGGGGGGACACAGCCTGCTGCTTCTGGCATCACTGCAGAGTGCCAGGGTGTGGACAGTGCCTTCCTCTGACTGTTAAAAGATGGTTTCCTGCAGGTTTTCCTAGTCAGGCTTTCCAGTGGGTAATTTAATCTTATCAGCTGCAGTTACTTGTAGGGAAGGCTGACTTAGCAGCCCTCATGTAGTTTGGCAATAGGGATTTTCTGAGACACATTCAGCAGCTCCCAGGGGGACAGTGCAGCTCTGGGGTGAGGTGACACAGCCCTGGAATAGGAGCCTGCTCATCACAGAGATCATTTTGTGTTTGGAAGGAGCTGCAATGTGCATGCTTTGAATAATAACCTTCCTGTTATGAATGCTTCCTATTCATCTGCACTTACTAAACAAATTGCCAAAGACAATATTAGCCAGATTTGCAGATACAGAGCTGTTCCAGTGTCCCAACTTGGTATTTGCAGAGTCAACATGAAGAGCTGAAGAAACAGCACGCTGACCTTGAGGAAGATCACCGAAAACAGGGAGAGGAGTTTAGCAGGACGTTCAGTGATCACAAGGAGAGATACCTACAGCTGCAGCAGGAAAAGGAGCAGGAGATCTCTAAGCTGAAGGGTAAATTTAACCTGTGTCTGGCTGCCCACATTTAATTGGGTGTTTGGCTTTGTGTGGTGTGAGAGAGACATTTTCTCTGTTCTCACTCACAGGTTTGTACATCTTCTGCCTCCTGACAAGTTCCATTTTATTGATGATTTTCTGAGGCCTTTCTCTGAAACCTATCTATGTGCTCTGTGTTTCTGTCTGGGTTACAGAAATAGCAAAAAACCCAGCACTTAAAAGCCTGTCCAGTGTCAGAGGTTGTTGAGCCAGTCTTTAATTTTTAATTCTAAGACTGGTATAAACCTGGGAAGAAAGGTTTGCCTCTTTTGTTTGTAACTGAAAGGCAATCTAAGAATATTTGCCACTGCTGGCAGAGATGTAGTTGTGCCTCCTGTGACTTTATTTACATTTTGTACCTCCTTTTTCTCTGTATGTGCCAGCTCCTCTGGAGCACATTGCACCTGTACACTTGGGTGATGAATTCAGTTTTTATTCTTGGCATCCAGTTTCCTGTTGGAGATTCTGGTCAGTTTTCAGGACTCTTCCATCCTCATTGCACAGTTCCATGGAGCAAAAGGATGGGGCTGTGTCCATCAGAGCCTTCTCTGCCACCTGTCCCTAACACAGGGGCTGGTTCTGGAGCTGTTTGCAGCTTTGTCTGCCCTGCAGGCAGAGGTTGTTTGTTGGCTTCACGTCAACATCGTGTAAAAAGTGGGAAGAGAATCCTCTGTCCCTGATCCCAGAAGCTTTTGGAGCCATCTGGGCATCCCTTCCAAAGGGAATAGCTGGGTGCTGTGTCAGAAAACTCTCACTCGCCAGGTGTGATGTGGGGAAAGAGGGGAGGATGCCTTCCTCTCTGCCTTTCCAGGATTCAGATTCCCAGAGGGAATTTGGCCATCTGCAGCACCCAGCAGGAGCAGTGATGCAGAATTCCAGGTGCAGGCTGGGTGCACTGATGGAAAATTTCACCAAATGTTATGATTTTCTGTTTGAAAATGGAAAGCTTTTAATAGGGCTGGGGAGAGAGGTAAGAAAAACAAACCATACAATAATTCTACCTAATTTTTACTACAGCACTCATGTGGGATTTTATGTAGATTGTGTTATAGCCTTGATTTTAGTGCTTAGCCTGGTGTTACAAATCCAACCAGGTTAAAACTCTGTATTTCTTGTCATTTCTTTTCAACAGAATCCCTGTATAACTTACGGGAGGAGAACAGGCAGCTGAGAAAAGCTCACCAAGACATTCACACCCAGCTGCAGGATGTCAAGGTAGGCCTTGCTCTGAGGAGAACTTTCAAGATCATTAGGAAAAAAATTTCCCAAGTTTTCCCAAGCCTAAAGCAGGCTGTTCTGTAGACTTGTAGTTTCTGTAATGTGGGAAAAAGGAGAGGAATAGGCTGGACTGGATTTGTCCTTGGCCACCTGCACTTTAGATATATGCCCATAAAAAAATAAAAAGTGTATGGAAAGAAAATAAAAATAAAAATTATAGAAATCAGGATTTGGTTTTACAAGTTAAAAATCGGGTTTTGGCAAAACTCAATGCCTAGTGTTTTCCATCTCTATTTTTTTTTTTTAATGTTCATCAACATCTACCCCACTTTTAATTTTATTTTAGTTACGCAAATCCTGGCCTCCAAATTGCCTTCCCTGGTGTGCTTGCTTCCTCTGCCTGTTTAATATGCATTCCATGTGAAATAAATAAATTCCAGCTAAGGATTTTCTTTTCAAAATAAGTTGAATTATCTTCCTAGTTCAAACCCCTCCCCAACTGATCTTTAGAATGAACTTTATGTGAAACGTGTGATGTTCTTCTTTTTGTGTAGCAACAGCATAAGAACTTACTGTCCCAGCACAACGAGCTTGTGGTGACATTGGAAGACCACAAGAGTGCACTAGCTGCTGCTCAGGTCAGAAGGAAAGCAGCTCCTGCTGGCTCTCAGCTTCCCAAATCTGTCTCCAAACCTCTCGTGGCTGCAGGGCGCTGCATGTGCCTCTGGCATGGGGACCCAGGAGTGCATGGCACGGAGGGGCTGCTCCCTGAGGGCTCAGGGGACGGAGCAGGCCAGCCCAGCAGTGCATGTGGTCCTGGGAAAAGTCTCTGCTTCCCTGGGAGCTGTCAGTGCCTTTCTGTCTCTGTCTTCTCTGATGGAACTGCTGTGAGCATCCTGCACTCTGACCTTCACATTTATCTCTTACACCTGGGTGCTGGTGTGAGATCTCTTCCTGTGTGTGGCTGGGGAGGTTGTGAGGTTTTAATGGAATTCCAGAGTGGTCTGGAAAGAGCTCATCCAGTGACACCTTCCACCATCCCAGGGTGCTCCAAGCCCCATCCAACCTGGCCTTGGACACTTGAGGGATCCAGGCTGGGCAAAGCACATCACATCAGTGCAGCAGCAGAACATAGATGGAGATGTGTATGGAGGTATGGAAACTCCAGGTGCAACTCAGTTTTTAGAACAGCCAGCAGCATTAAGTTCCTTAAATGTCGTTTTCAAGTGAACTACCCATGAAGCACAAACTGTTGCAGGCTCAGTCAGCTGTGCCATTACAAGCTGTGGAGGCCACAGGGAATCTGGAAGTGGGAGTGATGTTGGAGCAGAGGAAGACTTTTGGTGAAAGATCACAGGGAAAGGCAATGAGGCAGTGTGAAGTTATTTTTATTCCTGACTGGTTTTCTTCATTTAGGCATTTTCACAGTCCACAAAATCGTTAGCAGCATTAGAAGCATTGAATTTTTTTTTTTTCCCAGCTCTGCTTGTTGTGCCTGTCAATATGTGTGAGATACTCAAAAAACAGGGAAAGATCAGGAAGGTCCCTCATAGACTGAATATCTGAAGAATCATAATCTGCAGTACTAACCCACACTGACAGCTAATTTTGAGCTCTTCTCCCACTGACCACATTTGCTGTGTGGTGTGTGCTGATAACATCTGAAATTGCACAAGGCCACGTGGAGGGGCTGCTTTGAGGTTCATGAAGCCCAAAGGGAAGCTCCCCACTCTCCTGGCTTTGATTCAGTTCTTTAATTAGGAAGCCTGTGTCACACAAAGCCTCTCTGTCTGCAGCCAGGCTGTGACATCTGTCCCGTGGGGACCCTCCAGGGAAAGGTCTTGTACATGCCTTGAGAACAGAGGCTGTTTCACACTTTTGTGTGGTTTCTCCTGCAAACCAGCTGCAGAAAGTCCCCAAGGGATTCTTTCCCAGCTCCATAAATGATTCTTCTATTTCTGGGTGTATTCTGGATATTGAACACCAGTACTCAATACTGCACTAACCTGAACCTTTAAAGCATTTTGGCCTTAGTGCTTTTTCCCAGCCAGGCAGATTAAGGTATATTTTAATAAACCCTGTTTTCTGCCAGTATCAGCACCTTTTAAGCTGTGCCCTTGACTCAGAATGTTTAGTTTAGTGACTCTGCAGTGGAACAGAGGACTTGAATTCTGATCTGGGTGAGCACTCTTTAAACCCCATGGTTTGGGTTGGAAGGGACCTTAAAGCTCATCTGATTCCACCCCCTTGCACTATCCCAGGCTGCTCCAAGCCCTGTCTAACCTGGCCTTGGACACTTCCAGGGATGGGGAGTCCACAACCTCTCTGGGCAGCCTGTGCCAGGACCTCACCACCGTAATAGTAAAGAATTTATTCTTAATATCAAATCTAAACCTTCCCTCCTTCAGCTTAAGGCCACTCCCCCTTGTCCTGTCCCTCCATCCCTTGTCCCCAGTCCCTCTCCAGCTCTCCTGGAGCCCCTTTAGACGCTGGAAGAGGCTCTGAGGTCTCTCTGGAGCCTTCTCCTGTCCAGGTGAGCACCCCCAGCTCTGCCAGGCTCCAGAGCAGAGGGGCTCCAGCCCTTGGAGCTTCTCCACAGCCTCCTCTGGACTCATTCCAGCATATCCCAGTGTGTTCATCTCTCTGCATGGTTACCAAGAGGAGACAAAAAAAAAAATCAGAGACCTGAGTATTAGTTTTATGTCCAATAAGTACTCCTTTTTCCTCTGAAGTTTGTCCTCTCCAGCAGTTAATCAGAGAGCAGAAGCATCCCCCTGGTCTGACACTGTGCATTCCCTTTGGGCAATTCTGTTTTAGGAATCCATAGGCTTGGGGAGGTTCTTAAACACACCCACACCTGCCCTGGAGCAGCAGGGAAATTCTCTGGTGTGGCACTTGTTGTGTGTGCAGCTGGTCAGCTTTTATACACCCTGCCCACCCCAAAAAATCCTCTTTAATTGGAAATCTTCTTACTGCAGAGCCAGGGATTGGGGTGCCAACCTTGCTGGATTTTCATTAAAGCTTCCTGATCCTGTCCAAAGTTAAACAGCAAATCAAATTCCAACATTTTACTGCTGTATTTCAGGAAGCCTTTAGAAATTCACATTTTCCTTCTTTTCTTTTTTTCCCTTCTGCTTTTGCCATTGCTCTTCACCACTGTGACTTTCTTTGCCTCGGTTCCGTATGTTGGCTCTTGTCTTGTCTAACACCTGTCTAAATGTTGAGCACTTGGCATTTTCATGACATGTAGATGTACTTTAAAACTTCTGTTTCTGAAAGAGCTGCACTTCTTTCTACCAGCAAAGGAGAAGTTGTGGTGCTCTCAACTTCCCTCACGTCAGTCTGCCAGGAAAGCTTCATCATCCCCTTCTGACACTTCTCCTGCTTGGCATGAATAAAACAACTCCTCTTCTTTGTCCCACAGAGATGTTTTTAATACACTTTTTATGCATGTGCACTTTGAAAAGATCCTGATGGATCAGTGTCATCTAATGTTTGGAGGAAAAAAATGTATATTTTTAAAGCTCCCATCCTTTCTCCTCCCTGAAAAATCAAGTTTTCTACCACGTGACGTGCCAGCAACTTCACTCCAAGGTGACTACATTTGATTAAGAAATTAATTTGGACACACTATAATTAACATGTTGGCTTTAGACTCAGGTGGAGGAATACAAACAGCTGAAGGACACGCTCAAAAAAATCCCAAGTTTCCAAGATGTGGAGAAGGAGGAAGGAGGGAAGGAGCAGCAGCCCGAGGTGCGGGGCCCGTCCCCCCACAGCCCCCCGGAGCCCCCCGGAGCTGGGGCTGAGCAGCAGCAGCAGGTAAAGGGCTCCAGACAGCCCAGCAGTGGTTCTGATCCAGAACAATGTTCTGAATGTCTCTTAGGAGAGTGTGTTTGACTGTGCACCTTTGTCACTGCGGGAGGAAAGCAGTGAGGAATGGTTTAATTGCTGTGTGGTAAGAGAATCTATTCATGATGGTCTTTTCTCACTAGTCCAGTTTTAAGTGTATTTATGCCAGCTCTTTTAAGAACTCGCTCAAAATTTAAATGTTTTAAATAAGAAATCTAAAATTTTAGCTATCTCAGGTGTTACAGAAAGCTTTTAGAAGTTCTGAAGAAATTTTTACTTTATAAGGTTCCAGTGGCACATTGAAGTTAGTGTATTTGAAATTGGCATACCAATGTTCAAGCAGAAAACGTGTAATCTAGAAGTAAATGTAGAAGTAAATGAAGAAGTTAAGAAAAACCAGTTGTGATTTTGTTTTACAAGAAATTTTTGGCCAGCAGAACCTACAAGAAATAAAAATCATGGAATCATTTAGTTTGGAAAAGAACTTTAAGATCTTTGAGTCCAGCTGTGAGCCCAGTTCTGCCAAAGCCAGCACTAAACTGTGTCTCCAAAACACAAAGCTGGCTTTGTAGAATTGTAAGAGTTTTTCATTTTTCAACTAAAATGAGGCTTAACTTACTCTGTGGTGGAACTGTGCAACACCTTGTGTAGCTGTACAGCCACAAACCAGGTAATGACCCCATTTGGCAGGAGGAGCTCATTCCAAAACAGGCATTTGGCCCTCCTGACAACAGCTCTGGGCTGGCATAAAGGATCCAAGTCTGTCCTTGGCTCTCTTGAAATTGAAATCCATAAATGCGTTGTACACACATAATCCTGTGTCTGTTTTGCAGAATGAGAAGCCAAGGGAGAGAGAAGAAATAAAGAGCCAGGAGCAGGGCAGGGCTGAGCCTTTCCACGTGCAGGAAAGGGCTCATGAGGGCCAGAACGCCAAGGAGCTGAACATCCAGGAGCAGCAGGAAGCTGGAGAGGATGAGGAGCAAAGAGCAGAGCAGATGGAAGAAGAACGCAAAAAGGAGCTTGAGGAGGAAGAAATGGAGCAGGCAGGGCAGCCTGAGCACCTGGAGGAGGAGCAGGACCAAGCCCCAGAAGAGCATGAATGGAAAAAGCAGGAACAAAAGGAAGAAGAAACCAACATGTTGGGTGATCACCTGCAGTCAGAGGTAGGGAGCTAGTTTCTAATTGATTAAATCTGCTGTTTCAATGGAGGCTTCTCTTTTCACTGCTGGCCTTGTATTGCAGTCACCTATTTCTAGGCAAAATATAGTTTTTATAGAGAGTTTGAGATTCAGAGCACTCTCTGATTTTTAGATAAAATTACTGTCATGTTTATAGAAAACTTGGGATTCAAAGCACTTGGATGCAATAGGATTCAGGCTCAACTTGAGCACACTTGTACTGCAGTGCTGGCCAGATCTTAATGAACATTAATTCTGCTGATAAAAAGCAACAGATGGAAAAAAAAAAAAAAAAAAAAAAAGAGCAGCAGACTGAATTCCACTTTAAACCTGAGGCCTGTGGTAGCTGATGGAGAACTCAGCAGGTGAGAGGGAGGCTGGGATGGAGAACTGCTCTGCTTTGCTAACTTGATGCACCTCAACAAATTGCAGAGTGTTTCCTTGTCAGAGGTACCTGCCTTCTGCAAACACACTGCCAGCTCAGTGCTCACTGTTGTTTGACATGGAATTTTAACTGCCAGACAAACATGATTAAAATAGCCAGGGGAAGTCAGTGTACAGCTCTAAATAAAATCATCAAATCCTGGATTTACATCCTAGATGCACTGGTCCCACTGTAGGCATTGAAAACACTTTCTCTCCTTGCAGATTAATTGTGTCACTCTGGTGTAATGAGGAGCTGGTGGTGCAGAGGGTCAGAACAGCAGCAACGGGTTAAGCTGTGAAGCTGGAGTTAGTCTAAGTTATTGCTGAGTATAAAAAATGAGCAGTGTCTCACTTAAAGCCTTAAGCAGCTCCCCTTGAGATTACCACATAAATCAATGGAACCTTTCTGCTGTCTTTCAGTCAGCAAAACCTCCTTTTACTGTGTCATATGTTGGGAGGTTTTATTATTATTTACAGGAAAAGCATTGCTTTCCTTAGCCCACAATCTCCTCTTTCTTCCCTGTGTACTCCACAAACACCCCAACACTTCCAGTCTGTGTTCCAAGAAATGTTTTAACTTCAAGCAGGGACACAAAAACTTGAAAATAACTTTGCTGTCATTGCACGGAGCTTGTTTTTCCCTCTGGACAGCTTTCTCCCTGCTTGTTTCTGATCACTGAAACGATGATTAATCTGTGACTAACACGTTTCTGTGACAGGTAACACCAACAAAGAGGCAGAAAGCAGCTTACGAGCAGCAGCTGGAGCAGCAGCACCTTGGAGCCCAGAGAGCAGAGGAGGCCAAGCAGCTGAGGCAGCAGCAGGAGTCCCTGCACCAGCAGAGGCTGCGAGGGCAGCTCCTGAGGCAGCAGCAGCTCCAGGAGAGAGAGCTCCAGCTGCAAAGACAGGCAGAGCAAGGGGAGAAACTCTTCAAAAACCGCCTCAGGTGCAGCTCTCCCTCTTGAGATTGTCGTGCTCTGGGTTTATGTTGTCAGCTTTGTTCTGCTCCTTTGTCCCTGAGGGCAGATTTCCAGGGGGTTCTGTTGGCTCATGCCTTGAAGAGCTGGAGGTTTGTTCCCTAAAATTCAAGTCCTGACTTTGCTCTTTGCCTGACCCATATTGTTCAGGACTGCAGACTCCACATAGACACAGCACAAAGTCAGTGTAGCAGCACAAGAAAGTCTGTTCTATCAAGCATTTTTCAGGAAAGGTGATGTGAGAAAATATCAGATAATAGAGCATGAAACTGGGAGCTGCTCTGGCAGCTGCTGAGAGAGGCAGAGCTGCAGGTGGGGGTCTTGTTTATTAAAGCAGAAAACATACCTTTGAAACTGAAATGATGCTTGGCTTTTAATGTTCTCAGCCAACAGGCTCATTATGATAACATGGACCAGGACATTGTACAAGGGGAGGAAGAGCAAGGTATTCAGGAAGAGGAAGGAGGTAAGAGAGAATTTCTGTCCCTGCCATGCTCACAGGCTCCCTGTATACTGCCTTGCATGGGAGACTTTAATATTAATTTCATATCCAGATTGGGTTCAAGTGAAACATAAACTTGCAATTTAAAACCAGAAGCTCAAATAACCATGGCTGAACTGACAGAATGAAATAGGGGAATTACTAAAGATCATACCCACATTCCTGAAAGGAAAAGTGCCCTTTTGACTGAGCTGTTATTACCAGGCTCTGTGGATCTTGGTTATGTTCCTGGCTCTGCCTATGGGTTTGTTTGATCTCTTTAAATTACAGAATCATGGAATTGTTTGGGTTGGAAGGCACTTATCTCATTCCACACCCCTGCCATGGACAGGGACACCTTCCACTAGCCCAGGCTGTTCAATGCCCCGTCCAACCTGGCCTGATCTTTTAATTTTTTATCTCATTCCACACCCCTGCCATGGACAGGGACACCTTCCTCTGTTCAATGCCCCATCCAACCTGGCCTGATCTTTTAATTTCTGTTTCCTATTAGGAGTAAATCAATTCTGTGAGCATTATCTGTTTATGTAGAGGCTTCCCACTGCTAAGAGCATGTGTGGAACCTTGTCTATAGGAGACTCTTGAAAGGATAACTAAAAACTGCTGTAAAACAATAATCACCTAAAAAATTCCTCAGCTTATGAACACAACAACCAGCACCAGGATGAAGGTGAAGATGATGATCAGAATAATGCAAATGAACAGCAAGAAGCAGAACATCAGGCAGAAAATCAGCAGGCTGATGAATCAGTAAGTATGAATTAAGATGCTGAGGGTTGCAGTGTTACTGAAGTGAGAACCCACAGGTCTCGTCTGACATAATTGCACCTTATAGAAATGAGATAAGCAGAGGTCTGCCAGGAAGACAGGCTTGACAGCTGAAAACAACATCTAAAATCTATTTAAAGGTGTCCTTAGTCATTTGGGAAGAAATAAAAGGAAAAGCTCCCTTATAGGAAGCAAGGTGTTTATTTCCACATTCCTTTGATCTGTGCTTTCAGTGGAATAACGGATTATCTTAGCTGGGACTTGAGCAGGTACATTTGGCTTCAAAAAATACCAGCAGTGCCCAGTCAAAACGAGAGGGGATGGGATTTTTCATGCTGTCATTAATTAAAGGCCAGCTCAAGAGCCTCTGTAGCCAGCTGGAGTCAGTACAGAGGTGAGAGGTCCTGAAAGAAGATGTAGGTCAGCACTGAACTGAGCCCTGATATCGACTGCACAGAGATCTGGGGCAGGAGAATCACCCTGGGCCTTCCCCCAAGCTCCATCTTACCTGGAGCTGTCAACATCGAGTGCATCTTCCTTACTCCCCTCCCATTCAGCAAATTAAGTGCAGTGAATATTTCTAAGTAATCTTTAACTTGTTGTCTGTAAATATATAAAACTGCTTTTAGTGAATGATAAGCAGAAAATGCTCCTTTTCTGCCTGGCAAAGGTGAAAAGTGTTTTGTTTTCTTGTAGACATAGCCAAGGTCAACAGAGCAGGACTGGCTGATAGTGAATGATGCCATCAGCTCTGTGGAGCTGTGAGCATTCAGCTCTTATCTTTGTTCACATGGCCTTATCAGGCACTGTCAGCTGGTCAGGAAACACAAGCTGTGCAGCAGCCTCTGGGACAGAAGTGCTCACATTCTGTGGGTTTCAGCAGACAGGTGCCTGCACCTCTGTCCCTGCTCATGCACCTCAGTGAGCCCTGAGCCTGCAGAGATTCCAGCTGCTGCCTGTGGGGATGGAGCTGGCTCTGACAGCCCATGCTGCTGTTCTTTCAAGGGAAGTGCAGCTGGACCATGGGCTAAAAGTATTTAACACTCACTCCTGTGAATTACAGAAGGCAGCCATGGAAGATGTGAATCCTGCTGATGACCCCAATAATCAGGGAGAAGATGAATTTGAAGAAGCTGAGCAAGAGAGAGAAGAAAACCTGCCTGAGGAAAATGAGAAGCGCAAGGAAACGGGTCAGAAACAAGGACATCCAGGAATGGAGGAGCACTTGGTGGTGGGTAAAGGCAAAAGAGGCACTCTAGGGCTCCTTCAGGAGGTTAAAGCTGCACATTTCAACTGTGTTGGAGCTGTAAACTCCTCCAGGCAGAGAGAGTCTGAATTTTTATGGCATTGGTCTTCAGTGGGGTGAATATTCCATTGTCTTCCTGCTTAGTATGGAAAGTCGTGCTTTATTCTGTGAAGTGATTTTTCTTATATTCATCCTGCTATTTTTTAATTGAGGGCAACTTTAAATCACAGAGCTGGGCTCTCACTACTGCTAATGAATGCACTAAAACTTCTCCTGCCATTATTGTTACTTCAGCTTTACTGAGAGCTTTAGTTCCAGAACAAGAAGCTTTAATCTTCAGCCCTCTGGTTATTAGGGAAGCTCATAGATCTGAATTTTTATGTGATCTTTGTGCAGATGGCAGGAAATCCTGACCAGCAGGAAGATAATGTGGATGAACAATACCAGGAAGAGGGAGAAGAGGAGGTAAGAACACAGACCCAAGGCAGGTGTAGGCTCAGGCAGCAGAGCACAACTCCATTAACACTCTTTTGTGTCTTTTGGAACTGCAGGATGAACCCAAATCACTTTGTCTGACTTTAGAAACCTGGGAAGTCTTTGCCATTACTCTGCTGTCACCTTCTGGATACACTCTGGGTTACTCATGCTCCTGTGCTGCAATCCATTAGTCTTCCATGCCACACAGCATTAATTGTGCAATAATTGAAAAGATTAAGCCTTTCACAACACAAGGAAAATTTCCTGGAAACCTCAAGGTCACAGAAAAGCTCATTAATCTCTAATCACACACTGCAGTTCTGAGCAAACTGCTTCTTTGGCCACTTACTCTTTAGCTGTGACTTTGATTTATCTGTGCTCCTCCTGAGCAATCCAAGCTGCAGCTCATGGAGCTGCTCAGGAAGCTGACAGCACGTGGAGCTGGAGCAGAGAGGGAGGGAAGGAACTTTCCCCTTCATGTCATGCTCATCGTTCAGGCACCACCCTGAGCCACCCCACAGCCCCTCAGCAGTACCTGATTAATTCCTATTTCTGCTTCCCACAAAACCCCTTTCAAAAAAAGCCCTGGAATTGGCTGCTGTCATTCCCTCATGGGGAGCACTTTGGATTAGCTGGGATGCACTTAGCAAAATGCTGCTACTCACATCCAAGCAGGCCACTGGGAACTGGGCAGAGCTGGCCTTTGGCAGCTGCTCTTTGGCTTCCAGGAGCCATTAGTACACATCTCAGAAAGGATGTGCCCACTGTGCTGCCTGGGAGCAGGGAAGAGGCAGCAGGGATGGAGTGAGCAATTAAGAGGCAAAAGAGATGCTGCAGTGGGGATCAGTTCCTTTAGTGGGTGGACTCAAATATTATCCATTGCTGTTCAGATCTTTCCCAAAGTGACCCTGGTGTGATGGATGCCTCTGACCCAGCTCCCAGGACACTGTTTGGAGCAGACAAGCACAGCAGCACTTCCCAAAAGGAAATCAAGTTTACTTCAAAACATTCCTCTTTCAAATTTACACCTAACATGGGAAGTGGGGCATGGAATGGAGGGAGACTGCTGGTAGAACAGAAGGGAATGAGAGATCCAAAAGCTGAATATCAGGGACACAGATTCAGCATGACCTGCTCTCTCCAAGGAGAGCACTGGAAGAGATTGTCAGAGAATTGTATTTAGAAGTTAGATGCTCTCAGAGGAAGTGAGTTTCCTGACTGTTAGGTGGTTATGGTTCTTTTTATCCTCCTTTAACCTCTCTCTACTCTCTTCTTTAGAATGTTCATTCTGTAAAAATATCACATAATATCATTCTGTAAAAATATGTGAACATGTGCCCAGTTGTGCCACAGGCCACTCTTTGAAAGGCAATTAAACCATACAGAACATCTCTTGTGCTTTGCAGGTGCAGGAGGACCTGACTGAAGAGAAGAAGCGAGAGCTGGAGCACAATGCTGAGGAGCCCTATGGGGAAAACGAGGAAAATGTGAGTTCTGTTCAACACAGGGCTCAGGGACAGGATCAAACCCTGACCACAGCTGGTCATGGCACATGGGTGGGACATGATAATTGTTCTAGCTTGCTTTGGGTCATAGAGCTGAACATTTCATGCTGCCCCAATGTCCTTTAGCTCACCCTTCCATCTCTGTGTCAATTCTTGCTCCCTGGAGGCTTTGGAAAATCTTTTTTTTTTGTGTTTCTGCCCATCAGCTCTCACAACTCCAGCTGAAAATCATTTCACTGCCCTAAATTAAGTCATAAGGAAACTGGCACTGAATTTGTAGTAAGTGTGTTTTGTTTTGTTTTCCCCGATCAGGCAGTTGAAAAGAATAACAGAGGGACAGACCAAGAGCAAGAAATGCAAGAAGACAACAACCAGAAAGCAATTCATGAAGAAAATTATGAGGAGGAAGAGGAGGAGGAGGAGGAGGAAGGCAGAGCTGTTGCAGCAAAAACACGCAGACGAGGGGAGATGTAGTTCCTCCCTTCATTTTTATTTTTCCAGTACACAAATTCCTGTTGTGTTTTTTTTTTTTTTAAACCAACTTTTTTTAGGGTATTTAATTTTGAAAAAAAGAAAAGCTTGTGTTTTCCACTTTTTACTTTTCTATTAGGTGCTGTCCTGTGTTTATATGGATACAGTATTTTGATACTCTAGATTAGGATTTCTTTTCTATCCAGGCTGTACATAACCAGACATCCTCTAGGTTGGATTTTTTGTAACTCTGGGCACGGTTTATAGAGGCCATTTTGGATACACTTTCACCTTGTCCAGGCCTGACAGAATGTTTGGTGTCATGTCAGGTGTACTCACCACTGAAGGAATATTCCTAGTGCCTAAATCCAGGTGACTTCAGTCACTCCAGCTCGTTGTCTTCCATGGATTTATTCTGACCAAGGGCTGCAGATTCCTTGTAACCTCACAAAGCCAAGCACAGGCCGTGCCCTCTGCAGGACCAGGCCTTTTCTAGGTGCAGAACAGTTATAAAATATGCAAATTTTACAAGCCTTCAGAATGCAGCCAAGTTGCCAGCTGTTAATTTTGGCAGCTGTTTAGATACGGTTCAATTATGCATTTATTTTAATGAGCATTCCCAGGTACTTCAATTACAGGCAGTACCTGGCTGCTCATGCAAATGGGGCTGTGCTGAGAGGAGCTGGGAGCTGAAAACCAATTTAGACTTGGAGCTCCATTATGCCAAATCAAAACACTACAGCTGTCAGAGGGATGAAGATTTACAGCAGCAGCAATCTCCTTGTCCTAGTTAATACATAAAATATTTGACCAGAACCAGAATGATGTTGCCTCAGTGCCATGTTTCCCGGAGGGTGTGGTAGCTGAGCTGACACAGTTGGTGCAAGATGTTGAACTTAAGGCCTTTACCTTCCTTTTCCTTATTTATTTACAAAAATCTGCTGGAAGGATTTCTGTGTGCCCCAGGGTGAGACTCAGACTCGAGCCAAAGCCCACAGAAGTTGTTTAGCAAACATCTCCAGCACTGCATGCTGAAACCTGGGGAGGGGAGGGGGGGAAAATGACACAAAAATTGTGCCTTGGTGTGGGCTACCCTGAACATAATCCCAGTGCATGAATTATACAATATTTGTATTGGTACAGACACTAGTTATTTAATATATGTTAAAGGAGAATGGGAATCTGGATTTCCCAGGCTGTGCCCCATTGCTGGAAATGAGGCACAGGGGAGCTCCCCATCAAAGGCTGTGTTAATATATAAAGGGAGAGGGAGTGGGGATTTTTCCCTTTTTTTTTTTTTTTAATAATAATGATGCATAGCAATGTTTTTAGTTCAATTTTTTATATGAATGTAATTTAATTCATTTTTCTACTAACTTGATTATACTATGTTTTATAGTTGGTTTCCATTCATTGCAATTTTCCTAATTGTCCCAGATCCAGTGCTTATGTTTCATAGGAAGATTTTTGTCAGTGAGTATTTTGGGTTTTCTAGTTACCATAAATCAGATTTACCTTATGTATAAAAAAAAAAGTTTACATGAGACTGTAAAATGTATAATATGTACATAATCTTCAGAATACAATTATTTTGGTAAATTGGCCTGTATTTTTAATGTCATGGTTGCAGTATTTAATTATTTGAGGCATAATAAAACTTGACTGCAGTCAATAAACTAGAATGTAGTTACTGATCTTTCACATGCGGGAGGGTTTGTGTCAGTTTTCCTCACGATGTGTTTGGATTTCATTTTAATACAGGAAGCATGGGCAGGCAGGGGAAGGGTTGGAGCCCTGGCAGCATTTTCAGGGAAGTGGAATATTTTTGTTAATGATATTCCCACCTCTGTGCCTGACAAAGGTCAGAGTGCCAGACCCAGGGGACCATGGGGTAGCTGAGCTGGTCCTCATTGCCACAGGATCCCTGGAATTCAGGGAATGCCAAATGCCTGGCTAAATCAAGAATTTAATGAGTTTCTGTGACCTAAAACCAAGTGGAGCTGGGCCACAGCCCCAGCCCTGGGGCAGAGGATGAACAGCACAGGGGGTGCTCAGTTTTCCAGCTCAGAGTGTGATCCCTGTGTGATGCTCTGGTTTAGGACCAGCCAGAGAGGAAGCTGGAATTCTAAGGGAAAACTCCCATCACTTTGGGATTTGGCAGCAGCAGAGCAGCCGTGAGCAGGGCTGGCAGGGACTCATCAAAATACTGGAGCCAGTTCAGGGAGCAGGGGCAGAGCACTAGGAAAGCTCTGATGGAGGAAGGAAAATCCATGCTACAGACAGAGGAGAGTCCTGGTGGTTTGGCTGAGAACACCCCCAGGAAAACACCAGCGAGGCAGCAGCCCTCAGCCTCCCCCTGAAACACAAAACAAAACCCCACCATAAAACTCTGACCAGAAATACTGTGTCTGGTCATTGAGTCAATTAGTCACTGCAGCAATTAATTTAAGGGCTGCCATGAATTTTTGATCGCATCTTTGCAGAGCCTCTCTGGTCCAGCCCCAGCTTGGGCATCACGGGAGAATCCTGCCCACCACAAGGTCAGTCAAGAGGATGATGAGAGCTGCTCCGGCCATGAACACATGAAAAAATAACACAGTGCAAAGAGTGAACCCAGTGGAATTCTTTCTGTGGGTCAGGGGGTGCTCCAGGGTGTGGCAGCAGCTCTCTGGCCGCAGAGAGAAACACACAACTTTCCCAGGTATTGCCTGAGAAAGCCTGAGAAAATCAGAGAAAAGAATGAGAAGGAGAAAAGAATGAGAAACAATTCTTAAGATCTTAAATTTCTGCACCTGGTATTGTCAACATGTAGAATGTGTTATACAGATTTGTTTACCAAAGGGTGCTTTTTTAATTAGCCAATGGTGATGGTGTTTTAAGTAAAGGACCAATTAGGTCAACCTGTAGCGAACTAACCTATAAAAGAACAATGGGTTTCTTAATAAATACATAATTACTGATCAGCCTTCTGAAATACATGGAGTCTATGCTAAATAATACCTGGCAACGACACCAGAGCTCACCTCGGGGAGGCTGCTCCGAGTGGCACTGCTGCTAAAAGCAAACAGGACAGGCTGTGGTTGGGAACACAGCCCTAAATCCATTTGTCACCCAAGCACAAATCCAGGGCTCACACCTTGTATCCACCTCTGCTCAGGTTTCCCCGGGAAGGAGCCTCAGGGCACTCCCTGCTGGCCTCAGCTTTGCGAGGCTGAGCACGTAAAATCAGAGTTCCCAGAGCTGCTGGCTCTGCTGCATCAGGGATAAATGCACTCACACAGCACCTGCAGGGCCAAGGCAGGCAGAAACCAAACCTGGGCAGGCAGAAAGCAAACCTGGGCAGCCAGAGCAAGATTTGGTACAACATCTGACATAGCAGCAGCCCTCAGAGCTCCCTTCTTGCTGGTTCAAATGCAGAACTATTCATCAGCATCATCATCACAACCAAAGAGAATAAAAAACCCAAATCATTTTGCTATCTGCAAGTTTGAGGTTTTTTTTCCTTAGAAGTTCAGAGTATTCTAGGAATCCATCAGCTCTGTTGTAGTCAGGGACTCAGCTGATGACAAGAACAGCAGCTTTACTTGTTCCTGTGTGCTGAAACACTCCACAAAAATCCACAGGCATTCTGGTATCAATAACTTACCTTGAAACACACTCATGTGCTGAAACACTCCACAAAAATCCACAGGCATTCTGGTATCAATAACTTACCATTCCTTGAAACACACCCACTGGACCTTAATGCTCATTTTATTCTCAAACCATTCCAAGTGCTAAACCCTACTGCAGTGAGAGGTGCAGAGAGAAGCCAGCACAGTGATTTGGACAAGGATTTTGAGAGGAATCCTCCAGACTGAATCCAAGTTTAGCCCCAGAGTCTTGCTGAACCTTCTGATCATGGTCACCAATATAAAACTGGATCTCCTGTAGTTTTCAACCACACAGCAAATGGTTTTGTCAGTTCAAAAAACTATTTTGCAACAGAGCTTTGACCTGGGATGGTCTCTCACTGTTTTAGCCCCCAGCCCTTGTGTGTACAAGCTCCTGGCCTTTCTTCAGCTCCCCTCTGCTGCCAGCTGTTTCCTCAGCTCCACATCTGCACTTCCACTGCACAAATTAACGCTCCACAGAAGTTTCAGATGTGGCAAAACTATCAGGACAATTTTTCCACCATAATGCTCCTTTTGTCAGCCACATACATGATCACAGCACCCCAAAAATATCTGGAACACATTCCTGGTGCCCTGGGAGCTGCAGGAGCAATCCCTCCAGGGGATGCCCATCCCAGAGCTTGGGAAAGCTGCCACAGGATCAGAGAGCTGCCTTTGGAGCAGCTGTGAGAGTAACTATGGCTTGAAGTAGACACAAAGGTGAGCTTTAATGAAAGGTTAAATCTGCCAGGGAGTTTTATCTGCAGTCTTATACCAAGAGAACAAAAACCAGTCATAGATGGCACTTTGGAAAAGGCAGCAGCCTTAATTAATGAACAAATGCTACTGCTGGGTGCTCAGCAGAATAAAGTTGTCACTTCTATGAACGCAAGATGTTGGAATTAATTCCCAGACTGTGTGGGATCCATTATCCCACTGCTGTCAGAGAGGAGGGCAAGACCTGCAGGGTCTGCCCTGAAAAGCCAAGCTCAGTCTTTGCCAGCAGGGGATGCAAAGTACCCCTGGAAAGCTGCAGCTGTGGTGAGGGGCCAGGGCAGCCCTGAGCAGGACACTCCTGGCTGCAGAAAACCTGCCTTGTTTGTGCACAGCACACATTCCAGTGGAATTCCTGCATTTCAGGCAGCCAATCTGCCAGTCATTTCTTGTGACAGGTGAGCAATGTGACAGCTCCCATGCCTTAAACTGAGATGGTTTAATATAAATAAATATGTGTATACATATATTATATATAATAGATATATTTAATAAATATATAAATATATATATCTATAAATAGAAAAAGATATTATATATATTTATATGGTTTAATATACACATATATGTGTATATATAAAACTATATATAATAAATATATAAATATATAAATATATATAAAATATATATTAATAAATCTATATACATATTACATTTATAATATATGTGTATATATATGTATTTATACATAATGTCTACATATAATATGTAATATATGTATATATGTAATTTATATTGTATATGTAATGTATATTTAACATATACATATATATGTATATATGCATAATTATACATATGTTATATGTATAACATGTAATATATATAAAATACATGTATGTATAACATATATATATACATACTCAAATACATATATATATATATAATGGGTACAAATTGGAAGAGGGAGAATTTTGGCTGGTTATTAAATTCTTCACTGTGAGGGTAGTTAGGAGCAGGAACACATGTCCCAGGGAGGCTGTGGATTCCCCATCCCTGGCAGTGCCCAAGGCCAGGTTGGAAAAGACCTTGAGCACCCTGGGACAGTGGAAGATGTCCCTGCCCCTGGCAGGGGGTGGAACTGGATGAGCTTTAAGGTCTCTTCCAACCCAAACCACCCTGGAATTCTGTATATCTGTATATTTCTGTATATCTGTATACATCTGTGTGTATACAGATATACAGAAATATCTATCACACAAAGCAATTTGTGCAGAATTATATTTACCTGAGCCTTGGGCTATGGGCCCTTGTAGCTGAGCTCAGTTCTGAGTTTCCAGACTCTGCTGCAGCCCAAGCCAGACCTCTGTGAATATCTGTATCCCACTGACCTCCTTCCCTGAGGAACACGAGCATTATGTGGCACAAAAGAGCCAACTGCACTCCTTGGGCTGCCAAATGCTCTAGGAAACAAAGGCAAATTGGAAATGGAAATGGTTCCCTCCCTGCTTTATGCCATGCCAGATGGCCACGTTAATGCATCGATTTGGTTGTAAAAGGAAGGGATGTGGTGCAATAATGAAAAATGCTGAGATGCTTCCAACCTCAAAATCAATATTTTGATGAGTTTTAAAATAAATTTGTTGAAAATAATGCTGTGATTTGAAGAAAGTCTTCGTGGAAGTGTTATCATTCACAGTGACAGATCTGCAAAGTCTCAATCCATGTTGTTCCTGAAGAGACAGATTTATTCTGGAGAAAGCTTAAAATTAGAATATTGGAAAATTTTTCAGCAGTTTCAAAATTGGGAAGTTGCTCAGAATGGAGTTTTTCACTGTTTTTTTTTGTACAGAGCTTCAGGATCCCAACCAAGAGTTCTCTAAAGCCCAAACCCATGAGTTCCTGTGGATGACTTGGGGGCTGTGTTGCAAAGCAAGGGGACTCAGTGCAAGGATGAGGAATGAGCAGGCCATAACTTTCAGCTGCTTCACTTCCCACATGGATTTGGGCTGTTCTGTAATGAGCAGCTCTCCAGGCTGTTCTGCATGGTGGCTCCACACTGTCAGACATCCCCCTCAGGGCTTGTCCTCACAGCAAACATCATTAAATTTGCAATTTACCTCAGTGCCTGCTGCATTCCCCATCCAAAGCTTCCTGTCAGATTGCCTCCAAGAAACCTCTGCTCTAGCACTGTCTGAATGCAGCACAAAGCCCAGTTCTGGCCTTTTGCCCCTGTTTTATTCCTCCTGATGCCTTGTGCAGGCTGCCCTAGAGCAGAGGCTGGCCAGAGTTGCAGAATAAAGCAGAGATG